ACCATATAGAGCCATGTTTTACCAGGAAAAGAATTGGGATTGCCATCAGACTTTTTAGACATTGCCTTGATTCAGTCTGAACCTGAGCAGATTTTCAAGTTCACTAAATCTTCTTTCATCAGCAAACAGGTCAAATGTGACTCTGCAGCCAGCCGTGGCACGAGGGCAGTTAAAAGGGCCACATCAATTCTTGAGGCCACCTGACTCGGGTAAGTGGATTTACAGCAGGGATGCCTTGGTCTGCCCGCTGCAAGAGGGCAGACTACAGACCTCCACAGCTTATGGACAGAGATGGAGGAAAGGTCAAGCCGTTTGCTGTATCAACATCAACAGATATATTTAAAAACAGTAATTTAAATCCAGGCGCAAAGCAGTAACTTTTTGGTTCAACTTGAATTTACAGCTTAGTTCTGCTGCACATGGGAAGAAGGCAAGTTCTCTGACTTTATAAATAGAGAAAACCTCCAGGCTTGCTTGGTAACAACATAATTGGGAATTTTTTTCCCAAATCAAGCAGAAAACTCACTTTTTGTCTTGCTAAAATGCAAACTCGTTTCCTTGCCAGGAATTCATGCTTTGTATGTTTAGAAGATCGCTGCCGTTACCACTCTGAAAGCAGCAGCACTGCCATCGTCCACGCACGGCTGAGTCCTGCTCCAGGCATCTCCTGCCGAGTTGCCCTCACGGGCAAGGCAAGGGGCTGAAAGGGGCTGCTTGGCTGTTCCACAGCCCTCGTTTAGAGGCGAGATTCGCTGCCGAGGCCGATCACGAAAATTATTTGCCTTTAACCTGTGTGAGAGACAAGTCGTCTTACCTACAAGAGGGAGGAGACAACCCGTTCAGGGTACAACGGTTAGGTTTGTCACGGTAGCGCTCTCATGTAGGCCTGTTAATATGGTGAGACCTCAGAGCCAGAGGGCCTGCGGTAGGGCTTTCGTTGGGAGGAGAAACGGACCCGGAAAAGTGCAATTCGTTGCTGCGGGTGTGTTTATTTTACCGATCCAAACCCGCTTTTCGGCCCCTTCTTGCTGAGGCTTAGCTCTCGGAGAGCGACCCCGGCCCAGCTTCCGCCGAGCCCCGACCCCGGCGCGGGGGCCCCGGGCGCTGCC